AAAATCACAATAAATATGAAATATAATAATGAATGGAGTTTTTATGGGCAGTCAGTATGAAAACATGAAAAATAGTGGAAATTTTGGTTAAACTCTTAAATAATAAGGTTTTGAACTCATAGTTATTTTAGACTCACTATATTTTTTGACAAATTTATATGTTATTACTAAAGAATAATCTACACAAAAGAGTTTAGAAATTCATACAAGTATTCAACAAATATTTCTATCGAAATTTATTTAACAATACAATTCAGAAATGTCATTACAATTCAATAAACATTTAAACTTCAAATTCAGTGCATAAATAACTTTATAATACATTTCGTGTGAATTTTAGGTGTTTTTTGTGACAATTTCCAAAATATTTTATCTCTTTATTTATATTAGATTTATTTTTCTAATAAAAAACTAGTATAAAATATACAGAAACTGAAATATAATATATTATACAGGATTTTTTGTGTGCATAAGAATTATTTTTTTTATTGGAATTCGTATATAAATCAAAGTTGTTTTCGTTTAAATATGACAAATAATACCTTATAATAGAATATTCTATGTCTACTATACATATACATTGCATGAATTCTTTTAATACTTATTTTCTATAGTCATACTTAAATTAATTATTATGTAATACTTCTACACTTTATTAAGTAATGCGTTAATATTATTAAATTAAGTTTAATACAATCATAATTTTGCGATAAATAATTTACACTTTTATTCAATATCTTGATATTTTCAGATTTTATGTAACATTTGAAACCATGATTACACTGTTTATACTCATCATATCGTATACTAAAGTCACAAACTGTGGTAAATGCTGTGTTTTATTTGTTGCTTTAATTAAATCTATTCAAACAAAAGTATTCACACTTTTCTAAATGAAATGTCGGTGCATTGGTAGGCGAAACCCTAAGCCAGTCCACAATGTCAGCGCCGTGTGGTTTCGGGTATTTTCCATGTAATAACTCAACCGTTTGTGTGCAACAAAAGCTTAATTGCGATGGAAATAAGGACTGTCCCGATGGCTCCGATGAGCTATTATGCGGTACGGTATACATAAAGCTCTCTCTCTCTCTCTCTCTCTCACTCACTCACTCACATACTCACTCACATACACACACACACAATCACTCACTCACTCGTGTTTGAATAATTCTCAATGGAATTGATTTTAAAAGCAAAAACAAAAACAAAAATAAATCATTTAATTTATTGCCATCAAACAGGCAATATAAAAATTTTCAGTATATTATGTACTAATTTTAATATGACTTTTTGAGACAAATATTTTTTAAAACTCGAATAAAAATACTTTTTAAATATTTAGTTATTATAATGAAGGATTTTTCCCAAATAAACGTAAATCACCTAAATTGATGTCAATCACTAAAAATATTTATATTTACTCAGCTATTCCTATGAGAAATCACTAAAATGCCTCTACATCTGCATCACATAAAATATATTTCTATTTAACCATTATTTTTATTCTCTATATCTAACAAACAATTTCTAGGACTTCACTGACAATACAGAATTATTTAATATAGATATAAAAATATTATTTTATTGTATTTTCACGATTCCTATACTAAAAATACAGAGGATTTCCATAAAAGCGAATACTATAACAACTTATTCAAGAAGAGACCCGATGAGGACCGGGATAAACGGGAACAGGAGGGCTGCCTATTATCGCACATTCCCGAGGTGTGCACGTGTTTCACATCGAGCTTATTCTGTGAGCACCAGAACCTATTCACTGTGCCATCAGACCTTCCTCAAGACATTACTGACCTGTAAGTCACTCTCATTAGTATACAAATGGACATTGTTTCCAATATCGTTACACTTTAAGTATCCATTCCTTTTTAATTCATGTTTATTGATGTATTAAAAATTTCTTATCATTTTCAGAGACCTATCTGGAAATTTTTTAACATCTCTTACAGCAAAAAGTTTTCCAAAATCATACGACAAATTGAGTCGACTGTAAGTGTTTTCTGATAATAATTTTTAAATTCTTGCCTTTTTTGAAGAGACTATTTATAAATATAATATTTTTATTAAATTCCTAAATTTATTAATATAAATATAGATTGAATATAATTTTATTCAATACTTGTTCATACAATTAGTGATTTTCTAATCTATGATACGATTTTAACAATATGTTTAAATAGGATTTTGACGGCCACTGACATCATGTCTATTGAGAGGAAAACATTTCAAAACATGAATCGATTGCAATATCTGTACTTAAGTGGCAATAAAATATCGACCATCAGGAGCAAGACATTCATCAACACCACTGTTTTAGAACTATTGTATGAACTTTAAAAATTTCATTACTACCAACTACTATTAAGTATTTATAAAAACAAAATATTTTTGCTTGCTGACGTCAAATATTTTATTCTTACTCTAATAAAAACTTATTCTAGTTTTGTATTACTAGTACTGTATTACAAAAAGTCTTTTTAGCTTAATAATATATAATAAGGCCAGAAATTTAATTAAGCTTAAACTGTGATATTATATTGAATATTAATTTCCCTTTTGTTGCTCTCATATAACTATTATTAAAATCTCATAATAGGGTTCTCTCTCATAATCCCATCACTCAATTGGAGTCAAATTCTTTCGACGGTTTGTCAAACCTGACGGAACTGTAAGTCAATTATTACTTATTTATTATAGTAATTAAAAAAATAATTCTCATATCATATAGTTTATTGTTTACAAATATTATAATACGATTAGATAAAAACTAATGAATAATTGTTTTGAATAGAGATCTCAGAGACTGTCGTCTTAATGATTTGCCGCTTCAGATATTTGATTCATTAAAACGTTTGACTATTTTATGGTTAGACGGAAACCTATTGACCGGTTTGCCTAATGATGTCTTTTCTAGTCTACAGAATTTGGAAACTTTGTAAGTCTTAATATTTT